CAGGAGAGTAAATGCATCCAGCTAAGTAATCCAAAGACCACTGTACAAATGAGACATCTGAAGAAAAAGGACAAATCATCTAGAAAAAATTTCCCAAGAAAAAGAGTGATTTGGCCTATTAGCATATCACATCTCCAACAGGATTAAACTTTATAAATCTTCTCAAATGTTTGTTTCTGCTGTTTTCTACAGACATAAAATGCAAATGGTCTTTTGTAGTCTCAGTCCAATTAAAAATTAAATCTGGCTTTGAAGTTGGAGTGTAGCTCTGTCATCTAAACCCAAACATACTTTAAATTAAAGTGAAATCCAAAACCTCTGTCTCATGTCAGAAGAGTTACCTGTCATGGGACAGAAGAAAAAGAAAAATTAAGGGACTATTGTAGTGTCACTAATCTCATAATCCTTCGGTTTCATTTTGACTCTTTAACAACTTAAAGTATAAATATTATCTCACAATTTATAAATTTAATTTATATATTTTAAACTTTTTGTCGTGATATTATTAATAGTCATATAAAGTACTAATTCTAGAAGAAGGCTTCATCTATCTTCCTGTACATGATTTCAGGTTTGAGTCTCTATCTGGTAACTAGGCATTAAGTTTTTGTGCTTTGAATGGACATAACAAAGTATGATCTTTTAACCTCTGAGATCTGCTGTAAATGATATTTAAAATGTTTAAATTTACTGTAGTGAACCAAGACCATGCCTAACAGTGACCTCTGAAGTCTCCAAAAGGAGATGGGACACCATAATGACAATTCCACCAAAACTATGATAATGCCACTAAGCTGAAAAATACCATCGAAAAATTGACTTTTGGCTACAAACTGCTACTATTTTGAGGTGGCTAGCTGAGATGATCCAGCCTCACAGACTGCTCTATCCAGGACTTGCCCTGCATTTTCCCATTATGCAGAGAGTGGACAACAAATGATAAGCTACTTCTCCCAGGACTTGACAATTAACCCAAATCTTTTCAGGATCTCCTAAAGATGCCATCACCCTCAGACAGCAGGAGGTAAATTTTAGAACATAATGCCCACATTCCAAGAGGTGGGGTGGGTGGTTTTTGGTCTGTTATTGGGTTATGTATATTTGTCACTGTATTGGGGAGGTGGTTACAAGTTGTTATTGGTAATGGTCAGGAAAAAAAGTTGAACAAAGGAGTATAGATTCAGGGTTATTGTTTTGAAAAGAAAAAAGGAAGGTATAGATATGATAGTATGTAAAGGTATATTATTGAGTCTACTCTGAAAAGAAAAAGGAGGAATATAAAAATAGGATTAAAAGGTAGATTATTAAATCTACTTTTAAACCAGAAAAGAAACTACAAGTTTTAAATATTTTATATTGATATGGATTTCTGTATATTGATATAAATTTAAAGTTATTTTGGTTAGAACATATTATATGTACATTTCTAT